AGCAACGGTAGCATTTTGACATGCAATTGATAGATTTTGCATAATGAATATATACTCCCATTGCACATGTGTGCACACCTACTCACCTGTGTAACCCCAGAGTTTGGGAAACTGAGAGGAACTCTGCTTAGAACCTGTGATCAGCTTAAAGTACATTTTCCCCATCCATTCTTGCAATTTTGTGTAGTTCTAGATGTGTTAAGCACACATGTATGGCAGACAGCTGAGGATGTGTTGGATAGATCACAGCTTTAGCAGACTGAGCAAATTTATCTCACACCTCTATTAGTGAGAAGAATGTCTCTCTCAACCTGATGACTTCTCCCATCAGTTTTCTGCATGAAACCTTGTTGGATTCTTGCTACCAATGAGTTCAGATTATCATTTGTTATTCTTGTTTTGCACTATCTTGTATTTTTTTCAGTTAGAGCTATCCCAGTTTTGTGAGTTGAGCGCTTTTAAAATGCAATTCTTGGACTTTATTTCTTAATCGCATTGTAGGGAAATAAACATGTGCTCACTCTCAAGAGTCATTCACAGCTGGGACCAAAGACCCAACAAGGCCCAGCCTGTGCCCAGCATTGTCATGCCCAGGTGTTTCCTTGCCCCTTTCCCTCAGGAGCAGTGCTCAGCTCTTCTCACCCTTCAAGGTCTCCTTACCTTGCCTACAACCAAATCTGAAAGAAGCAGATAAATGTGAGTGAACTTTCATTCCAGACTATTAAAAATGTTAATGATCATCAGCTTTTAATTAAAGACACAGACACTGGCTAAAATTTTGTGATGGAGTGAGGTTGTTATGGTCTTCAAATGTGAGGGGATGTTAAGTGCTCACACGAGAGCTGTAGGAAGAGAATGAAAGGAGAGGCAGAGAAGTCTCAACAACAGAATATATTCAGAAGGTTTGTATTTTCCCAGCTCCTGATTGAAAAGTTGATAAGTTCTTGCCTATTGTTAGTTTCCTTATTTGGTGATTGTTGATAAAGAGGGGCTATGACTTACTTTTTAATTTTAATTTAGAAAAATGCTTACAGACTTTTTGGCATTCTTGGAAGAGACATTTAGTGTAAAATCATCCTGAATTGGTTAACTGGAGGAAAGGGCAGAGAAATAAACATAATATAATCTATTTGAAAGATTAGTCAAGTTTTAAAAAAATATTTTCTTGATAAGAGAATTTTTACAGCTTCTTCTAGATGAAGTTCAAGTGATTTCATCTGGTGCCTTGACTGTCCTAACCTTCAGAGGCACCTCTTATAAATCCAACCAAGCAGTATATTCCAGTACGATTTAAACTTTCCTATTTTTTGTTCAGGAAAGCAGAACTGCAGTATACCTGATGAAAAGAAGTAAGGGAGTAGTTTTATTAGTGTCTTACAAGAAGAATAACTTGACAAAGAGATTTAAACTTTTAGCTGCTGTACTCGCAACAGTGTTTTCTGATAATGTTGGGCTGCCTGTCTGAGAACCAGGGAGAGGGAGAGGAAGGGGAGGCTGAAAATTTTTCAAGGCCCTATGGAATGTCTTTTTTTGGATATTTAATAATGTACCATGTAAACGTATTGTAATATACAATATTTTGACCTGCTTTGTCACTACTCAGATGTGGGGGTCATGCAAATATTAGTGAAGAGGTGAATCTTCAATGCAAGTCAAGTGAGAAACCTCTTTGAATTCAACATTTAGCAAAGCAATGTCTGTTGGATAATTATACAGAGAACTTGTCTTTTCAGGGCTGCTGTGTCAAGTGAGGTTGGGGATTTGGGTTTGGTGTGTTGTTGGGGTTTTTGTTGGTTTATTTTTTGGGGGAGGGCAGGGGGTTTGAAAGTACTGTATCAACAGTTTATGTGTATTGGGAGATGATCTGTGACAGGGAGATTTTGATAGAAAATGCAGTGTAGATTTGTTCCCATAAGGCGTGAACTGAATTAAATGTATTTTGGAGACTATAACACTTCACTCTTCAGTGGTGACTTATTATCACCATTACTATTAGTAGGGAGATGATATTTAAAATGAAATATGATGCTTCTCATTGTCACAGCAAATAAAAACAAGAGATAAATTAGTAGCTAAATTAGCATATTGACTAGTTGGGTGAAATATGCATAATAAGCAACTCCAGCAATAAATAACTTGAAACAAAATATTTTTCAATGAGTTTTGGAGGTCCTTGCCCATTTTAGAGTAATCATACATGGATACAGTTTGCCATCCATTGACTTTATTAATTTGCTCTCCAAGACAAGGAGAACAAAGGTTTACAAGTCTAATTGCATCAGATGCCTTGCTGCAAATCAAATAGACAACTGTTATTAAAAGAGAACCTAAAACATGATAAAATCAGTTTTCTGTTGTGCTTTTCATGGAAAACATATTAGTCAATAAAGCTAAACCAGAGTTCTGTATAGAGGTAGCTTGCCTGTTTATTTCTTTGTACCTAAACAGGCTTATTTTGTTAATCCTATATCTGTATTTTTCTGTTCTGAGACTATCAGTATATTATGGGATGGCCTACCTCAGGCAGGTGGCTGCAGGCAGCAGGTGGCTGTAATCCCAGCTCCCAGGTTCTTCAAAATTAGCAGTCTGGGTGAACCAGTCACTGCTCTAATGAACCACTCCACTAGAAATATTCCTGGCTGAAATTTGTCATCTGACACCTTTTGGATCTACAGCACTGCAGGATGAGAAATCAATTACAAAACTGTCTTCCCTTCATCACAGGACAAATTCTGCAGCACTGGACACACATATTTCAGGCTTCTGCTTTAATTTCTTTGTAATCTCTTGGGAAAACAAGGAAGAGAGATTTAACCAGGGATTTTTTCCTAATCATAAAATTTTTCTTTAGAAGAGATAAATTCAGATTTCTGACAACAGGAGCACTGAAGTATAACTTTCATTTGTCCAGGGTATATTAGTGCTTGGAGTCTTTTATGTTCTTTTATTATTTTTCTGCAACCATTCCATTTTTTTTAAGTGATTTAACTATGCTTTTAGTTAGACTGTGTGCTGTACTCTGTGATGAGGTGTTTTGGTGACTGCCTGTCATTCTTGTCTGATGCTCTTTGGGAGTCAATGTACAGTGAAGGCATCCTTCTGCTTTGCTGGGTCAGTCAGTACCAGGGCTGCAATCAGATATCTTCAGGAGTTTTTGGACACTGTTTCAGGCCAGTAGATTTGTCTGGAGCAAAGTCATACATGTCTCAAAACCATGTTAGAAACCACAGTTTGTGTACTGTGTAGGCATATTCCATTCTGCCAAACTCTGCTTGCAGAAGCTTTCCTTGTCTGAAACTTCCCTTTCAAAAGATACCAAATGTATATCCACAGTTTATGGGGCATGGGTAAAAGGATGAGAGAATTCTTTTATTGGTATTAATATTGTAAATCTGCTTCAGATTATGTGTTTGTGGTCTTTGCAGGCAGGTGTGATATAAATGTGAGGGACTCTGCTGGTGCTCCAATATGTCTTGAATTCCTGCAGCTGGGCTTGCCTAGCTCAGACCTAGCACTGTGCTAATCAATCCTGCTGAGACACAGCATATTAGCTCAGGCTTAATGATGTGCTAATACAGTTACCTGCTGAAAGGCTATGCAGGCATATACATAAGTCACTCTATCCCCTCCCAAATTTTCTTTCAGCAGGATTAGGAGCTAGGTAACTCACAGCCAGAGTATTGAGCCTTTCAGTTCTTTTCATAAGAGCAGCTTACTTAATCCATTTGACTCTCTGATATACTCTGTGCTCTCAGGGAGGTAGGACAGCTGTGGAGAGAGGATTTGCTCATGTTTAGATGTGGTGAAGCTCCTGGCTGTTTTTTTTTTTATGCAAAGTGTGAAACAGTTCAAGATTGTTTTATATCTATAACACTTTATAAATTACAGGTATTTTTCAGAGAAGTTAAAAGGCTTAATTGTGAAAATATATTCTCTAGGGCAGTTTCTGTGTTCAAAATCCAGCTTTATTCCATGGATTTTATCTAGTCTTAGCTCTTTATCTTTGTCAGAAAATAAAGAAACTGCTGATTGTGTCAACCAAGTGTGTGCCCCTCAGAATAGCAGAATATTTCATGCTGCTGCTGTACTTAGTCCTTGTCCCTGTGCCCCATGTGGAGTGACCAGAGCAGAGACATACCTTGCCCACTTTTGTGCTGTCCTCACAGGTATCAGCAGGAGCTCATTTTGTTTAAGGGTAAAAGGGATAATCACTGGTCTCAGTACCTGGTTAGGTGACACCAAGCAACAGGGGAACAGGATAGTTCACCTGTGCAGATGTGTGAGAGTGAACGAGCTGGGCTTGCCAAGCTGGACGCAGTTTTTAGGGGGAGGTGTGGAGCTGGGCCAGCAGGGCCCATAAAGCAGCTTGGTTTGGAAAAAAATTCCTACTTTAAATGGAAAAAATCCTAGGATCTTTTTCACAGACCTGTACTGATTTTTCAGCTGTCAGTGAGGTATCATGCTGTTGGTAGGGATTGCTTAATTTTTAAGCTTTTCTCCAAGGAGTTAATGCTCCTGAGCATCCTAGGCATGGTCAGGGGTTGGAGTTACTAAATTCAAGCCTAGTTGGATCAATTTATACCTGATTTCTAGGCTTGTCTCACCTCAGTAGCAATGTCCTCAGGAAGTTTATGGTTTCTTGGAGTTTGTTTTTGTAGTGTATTGAAGAATTACTGTGCTGTGGTATAACAATGTATTCAAAATTAAGAGAACATAAAGTTCCTCAAATAAAAGAGAGAGACAAGAATGGAGAAAACTGAACCCTCAGGAGGGGAATGAGGGGAAGAGCAACATTAAAGTTTGTTCTGGATATAGCCAGTTAGTAAGTGCTGTTTTATCAGACCTGTTCTGGACTTTCTGTACTGCCCAATTTAGACTCCCAAGGCCAACCAAATGTCTGACTCTTGCTGAGCATTTAATAGGTCTAATTTAATCAGTCTGCACTAATTATCCATAGTTTGAAACCTGCGTTAATTTTTACTTTTCTATTGTGTTTTTAGGCTGCCTGTTTGAAGATGACCTTTGCAAATCTTTTGAAATCTGTGTAAATGGTAAGTCTTCAATATTTTGTTTGCTGATTAGTCTGTTCTCCATTCCAATTGGTATGTGGGTGATTCAATAAGCCAAATTTATGTATGAATCAGAAGGAGAGGAAGGAAAAAAAAAGATATCAGGTATGACTCTTCTGGTCAGCAGTCAGGGGAAATTTAATAGATTTACAAAATATATAAATATTCTCTCAACCTTGAACAATCTCATCTTCTTTTTTGTGAAATAGACTGTAACTAAATTAAACACTCTGAAATATGCTAATGTTTAGTTTGCTTTAATATGGGTGAAAATAACTGTTTTGTTACCTTCAGGTTGTCCCTCTTCTTAGGGGATGATGCTGAGTAATTTAATTCCCAATGAAGGACAGAGTTAGAGGGAGAGCTTTGAACTGTTTTAAAATATATGGATCTGCAATTAAGGGGTTTAATTTTTTTTTATATTAAGTATTCTATATGAAATTTTTTTGTGAGTGTGCAGCATGATGAAGTAGTTTTGTTTTCCATCAAACCCAGAAACAGTAATACAGGTCTGTTAATAATCAGAAAAATGCCAATTTGTAAAAATTCTGTATTGAAGATTTCCATGACTGACACCAGAAAGGGTGGTGACGGATTTCTACAGTGGTGCATTTTGCTGACTACCAGTATTTTCAAGTGCCTCGCTGTAGTCTTCCCCAATGCAAGCATATTTAATCAGGTTTTATGATGGGCCACTGTTATATCTGGCATCCAGTGCATAATAGGGGATTTATGCAACAGGTTATAGTAATTAATTTCTGTACTTTAACTGATCTCTCTATTGAAGACTTTGCTGTTCCTACAAATGTTATTTCCTACTTCTTGCTCTACCTGTTTTCTTAGTTGAAGATGCAGTTTCTAAAGTCTTAATTTGGCACTCCTTAGCATGTAAAATTAAATTATGTCACCGTATTTGAATTTGAATGGACCTTTTCTGTAGACCTACTCTTATTTTGGCATAACTAACTTAAAGAAATATCTGTAATGAATAAGCCAGTTGATCAATAATATTTCCTAATTTGTGATCTTTTTTTAAAAAAAAAAACACTTGCAGGGGTTCAGTCAACGTGTTTAAGGTAACTGCATAGTATTTCACTTTTTTATTGCTGTAACTGGGCAAATGTTGTCCAGAGTGGATTTTAAATGCTGTCCTTGATGCAAGTGAAAATACGCAATTTTTGAGAAAATTAACAGGATCTTTGGAAGATCATACTTGGAAGCACTAAAATACCATCAGGATTTGCTTTTTTATATGTAGCAGAAAGCAAGCAGGGCCACTTGCTCCTGAGCAGGCCTTCATGTTTTTCCTGTCCGAGCTGCTGCTGACTCAACTGTACCTCTGAAGTTTTTCAGAAATCCTGATATGTTAAAGTGTGAGTGCTTTGCTGGATTGAAAGCTCAGGAATTGAAGTCTCTGGAGGTCACTGTGTTCCAAGGTCATGAAAAGCTTTGCCTCCTTTGTTGCCACACGAGTGCATATTTCTGAAGTACAGTGTGAAAGTGGGAAAGAAACAGCAGCGACCTTTCAGCAGCATCATAGAAGTGCCTGTGATCTGCAGATGTGCTCCTGACTCCTGCAGGAAGGCTGAGCATTTTCATCTGGTTCTCTGCCTCCAACAGAGGCAATTGAACTTACTGTGTTTTCAAAACTAAAACTGGGTTTGCCTACTGAGGGCAGAAGTCACAGTATTTACGGTCTCACATCATGTCCTCAGCTGGAGACTCCAAGTACATTTCATGCATCAGACTTGTAAAAGCATAACCAAAACACCAATAACTGAGCTGTTTCACAGCTTAGAAAAATAAAGTACTGTTATTCCCTTCTTGTTTCTTCTGAAGGGAGATTGTGACTGAAAGATTTTGATAAATGTTCATTTGCATGTGTGCTGGTTTAAAGGTAAACCGGCAGGAGAAATGAATCCAACTCAAAAGAGATCATAAATCAGAGTTACAATTTAATAAAAATAATACAATAAATACAATTATACAGACAAACAATTGGTTTTGACCCACAACCCCCAGATGTATAACCCAGCACCCTGGGGCATGAACAGAAAGAATGGTGTTTGTTGGCCCCCGTGCTGAGCCCCACGTGGTCCCCACGAGTCCAAAGTAAAAGGAAAGGAGGACCTGTTGGTGCCAGTGCTGGTCACAGTCTGGTCGAGGGTGGTGGTCACAGTCTGGTCGAGGGTGGTGGTCGCAGTCTGGTCAAGGGTGGTGGTCACCGTCCAGTCGAGGTTCTGTTCCTCCTCTGGATCCAACGAGTGGGCCCAGAAGTCCCAAGACCCCAAGACTCAGGTTTGAGTGGGAATGCCCAGTACCTCCCCCAGGGCGGGGAGTTCCACAATGGGTGACTGTGAGTTGTGAGATAGTTTTGGAATCCTTGGTGGCCCGTTAGCAGACATGACCCCTCAGGCTGGGTGTGGAGGTGTTAATGACTCCCCGGAGGAGAGTCAGCACACTTGAGTCATTGGTGTGAAGACACAAACATCCTCCTATCTCACAAGCTTCCCAACAGCCAGCCTATAGCCTGAGGGGTCAGGGGTGCTCTGGGCAGCTACTGCAAATGGCCTGTTGTTAACAGTTCCTGGGAAACGACACAGAGGGTGTAGAATATACAGTTTGGGTTACACCCACACAGTGATGAACTGGTCCTGGCTGCCCTAACTAGGACATTATGAGTAAAAAAACTGGTGTTAAAAGAATTTTTTTTATTGTTAAAAGCAATGTAATCCAGTTGTAATATCTGAGATAAGCAGCATAACTGTTTACATCCGAGATAATAATTGCTTGCATCTGTTTAGGTCACATGCCATTTTCACAGGGCAAAGTACCTGCTGTAATAATGGTTGTTGACTTTTCTGCTCCTTTCCCTCATGATATAAAGGTGTTTTATGGCTTCAGTGATGGGTTCTCACTTATGTTTGTTTAATAGCTCCAGCAGCATTCATGCAATATTAATTTATTTCCACAAACCTTTTATCAGTTTTCTGAGCTGCACTGACTCATCAAGTGGTTAAAAAGGAACATATTGTTTTATGTTTATTTTAATGGCATACGGATAAGCCAAAAATAAAAAAAACCCCTGAGTTAGTTTTCCTGGACCCTTCCTTTGCAAAGCCAGAACTTTGAGAGTTCTGGTGATTTTTAGGTGATCTTTAAGACAGAAATCCTTCACTTACTCTTGACCAGTCCTTGTATTTATATATTAAATGTAGTTTAACTGGATAAGTGGAAATATGTCATATTTTGTTTTGCATTTTGAGAGGTAAAATGATTTAGATGTCATTTATTTATCTTCTTGTACATCATTACCTCCATATTACAGTTGGAAGAACTGACATTTTCACCCATCTAAAATGCTTGAAGCTTGAAAGCTTACAGCTAAAAAACCTTGATATGAAAGGTGAATATGCTTGTGAGCTGCAGACCCTAGTAGAAAATCTGACACACTATAAGTTTGGAAATGCTTGCTCCCCAATAAATGCTGAGAAGCTGTTGCAGGTAGCACAGGAAGCAAATAACATCTTAATTAAATGAGATATATAGAAGGAAAATAATAATATAAGGAATAGTGTTTGCAATGAGGGTGTGTGTAGTGATACAGCTGGGGCTAAAGAGGGATATGGCATTCACATGTTCATGTAGGATTTGGTATCTGGGTTAGAAGTTTAAGCAAAAGAGTTTGCCTGTGTTTGTATTTTTTTCTTGACAATTATGCTTAGAATGTTTGTATGAAAAGGAAAGAAAAAAACATCAAGAAAGAATTTTTAGGTGATCTCCAAGGCAGAAATCCTTCACTTACTCTTGAACAGTCCTTGTTTTTATATATTAAATGTAGTATAACTGGATAAGTGGGAATATGTCATATTATGTTTTGCATTTTAAGTGATAGTAAAGCAGCTCATGTAAAACATCAGCTTGTGTATCTTCCTCGTTGAAGGTTTAAACAAACTGGCTCCTGAAAGCAGCTAAACAAAGACAAGTTTTTATCCTTTCTTGTGAAATCATGTTATTGAATTCTAGCAGTGCCACTGGGAAAGACACCATGTGGTATAGATAAAAGCATTAATTTGAAAATAATCTTCTCTTATTGGCCTCTTTCCTCCCTTTCCTCCTCAAATGAGTTTGAACTGCTCATTTAGAAGAGTGGCATTCTTTCCTTTAGGTTTACTCTCCAGATATTTAGCTCCAGAAAGCAGCTTTGTGCTGTGTTTTATCTGTTGGTGGATACCATGGTATCTTTGTTCCTATCAACAGAGCCTTTATAAACCCGGGCGGTTTTGTTTATGAGAGCTGTGGCTGCAGGCCTCCTTCCCTCATGAAATCACGACAGGGTTCACACAGGCACGATCAGATAGCAGAAAACAACTCTGTGAGGCCAACCAAGAAAAGTTAATTAAATGCAGGCACTGGCAAATTGTGCATCATTAAGTCGAGCCTCGCTGACACCAACCTCCTCCTCGCAGACACGTCTGATGTCTGCAGTGGTGTTTGAAGATGCTGTGCTGCTGGAAGGCTGGGCAAACAGCACTGCACAGCTCAATCTGCTGCTTTATGTATGCAAGCTGCACTTGTTAGGAGGGACTTAGGTTAGCACAGTGTGTCAAAGGCATCCAAGCATTGCAGCCCAAAGTCATGAACCTTTCCAAGTTTGGATGTCTCCAGGTAGTTCAGAATATTAACGCGCTTTCTTCCTCAGCTACAAAGCTCCTTGAACGTTTGGAATATAAGTGATTGTATGTGCTGGTGATGAGCCATAAATGGTAAACATGTGCTACAGATGATAAGGGAGAGAAGTCAGAATCCCTGAAATGGTTTCTTGAACTTAATGTGTTACGCTTTGAGGTTTTCCAGATCGTTGCCTGGTAGGATGGGATTGCAGAGGAGATGCACCTCAGCATTGTTTAGCTAACAGATGTCTGCAGCTACCTCTGCATTTACAAGGCACTACTCTTCAAAAACCATCAAATTTTTGTCAA